CTGTACCCGATCAAGGCCATGGAGGAGATCCTCCTGTACCTGATCAATGCCATGGAGGAGATCCTCCTGTACCTGATCAATGCCATGGAGGAGATCCCACTGTACCCGATCAAGGCCATGGAGGAGATCCTCCTGTACCCGATCAAGGCCATGGAGGAGATCCTCCTGTACCCGATCAATGCCATGGAGGAGATCCTCCTGTACCTGATCATTTCCATGGAGGAGATCCCACTGTACCCGATCAAGGCCATGGAGGAGATCCTCCTGTACCTGATCAATGCCATGGAGGAGATCCTCCTGGACCTGATCAATGCCATGGAGGAGATCCTCCTGGACCTGATCAATGCCATGGAGGAGATCCTCCTGTACCCGATCAATGCCATGGAGGAGATCCTCCTGTACCTGATCATTTCCATGGAGGAGATCCCACTGTACCCAATCAAGGCCATGGAGGAGATCCTCCTGTACCTGATCATTTCCATGGAGGAGATCCCACTGTACCTGATCAATGCCTTGGAGGAGATCCCATGGGAGCGCCATTCCCTATTGCTAAGGTGTTCCTTTTGGATGGACAGTGGGCACAGTTCCCCAAGTTTGGGAAGTCTAGGTCTAAAGCTGGCCACACACTGCTCAAATTTGGGCCAAGTCTTGCGGACTCTGTTGAAGTTCAAGCAGTGCATGGCTCTGCCGGCACCGCTCCCTTCGGCAAAAGTTGATTTTTCAGCCAATCAACTGCGGTTTATGTATTCTAAAAGCTGTCCTGAAAACCCCAGCAATGACATGATGGGCCGGTGGTGGGCCTGTAATGCAGTGGTGGGTCCCCGTTCTTCACCCCCTGAAAAGGTGCCACAGATGGTCACATGACAATTGACTGAAGCAACTATAAAACCTTGTTGAAGGGTATTTTCAAGCATGAGGGCAAGGGATTGAGAGATTTGATGGGAAGCTATTTGCTCGGCGATGGGCTTTAAATTGAAACATATCATGCTAATGGGACTGTACAACCATGGAGGTGATAGATTTTGGGGATGGTGAATATGTCACTAGAATGAAGGGGTCCACAACATTCACTTCCATCTTGTACTTAGACACAATCATCATCTGCCTCTCCATGGTGACCTATGAGGTCCCTGCAAATGGGAAGTGCCAACATAACCGGGTAGTGATCTAGGCACCCAAACAAGGATCCTCCCACTCTGCAGTTGAGAAGATGGAAGGCCTAGGACCCAGCACATCACATGACAATGGAGTCACGTATTTGGGCCATTTAAGTAGATCGTAGAGAGGGGGGGGGATAAGCCTAGAAATCAGATTTTATGAAGTTCTTTGTAAAACTCCAGCCAAAAAGTGACGTCATCTCTGCTGAAGGGTTGAATAAAAGGCCAGTTCCTTTGATTGGCCCGGCTCTACGTGAGCATCATTTTCTAAACCCCTTCAGCTGGGAACACTTGACCAAATGTCCACCAGCCATAGGAACCCAAAGCAGCCTTTTAAAAAAGTGGGAATAGTGAGGATCCAGGGAATACAAACAAGTCAACATTCAGGCATTGGGTAGAAACACACAAGCATGCATTACCTCTATCCGCCTTGGGATGGCGATATCCTCATGCTTCTTCAGCTCTTCAAATGTCTTGAACTCCAAGTTGGCCTGCTCGTACTGGTCCCAGACCTCATTCACCTGTTTAATAAGTCCCATGGCTCGAGACTGATAACCTCCAAGTAAAATTTTTAGTTTCTTCTCCATCTTGGCTGCTCTTTTGGCTTCTGCGGTCATGTGAGCCCGGTTAATCTGAAAAGATAAAACAATCGGTCATTTGGATCACACTATTTGGGCAAATCAGTATTAAAGAATATGTAAACCTTCATCACTTCTCTAACTCTTCAAGCATGGGACACAAGTGATGAGCAATCCAATTTCAAACTAGTCAAAACATAAAAGCTTCTTTTTTTTATTTAATCAGTGGTCACGTGACTGCTTTTTGGCGCACGCTGCAGGGTCGGCACTAAGTTGCCGTGGATCTTGTGTGCTGTCAGACTCCTTTACAGTGTGATGACAGCGAGGCTCAATGGATGAGCCGCTGTCAATTAAATGCTCTGGGCTGCCGGTGATGCTGGCATAGTAAGACACGCAGCTTACATTGTGAGGACAGTGAGGCTCCCTGGAAGAGCCGCTGTCAATCAAATGCTCTGGCCTGCCCTGTGATGCTGGCATAGTAAGACACGCAGCTTACATTGTGAGGACAGTGAGGCTCCTCGGATGAGCCGCTGTCAATCAAATGCTCTGGGCTCCCCTGTGATGTTGGCATAGTAAGCTGCAAATCTTTATCCTGTGGTGACGGCAAGACTCCCTGGATGAGCCGCTGTCAATCAAACGCTATAGGTAGCCCTGTGAGGTCGGCATGGTGAAAATCGAACTCTAATTAGTTCTATAAAATTATTTTTAGCTTTTCCTTCTCCTATGTTTAAAAAAAAAAAAAAATTCAAGGTTTACCGTATATACTCGAGTATAAGCCGTCCCGAATATAAGCCGAGGTACCTAATTTTAGCAAAAAAAACTGGGAAAAAGTATTGACCCGAATATA